GGTGCTGCTGATGCGCAGGCAGGATATGGAGAAACGGGGCTGGAGCATAACCTGGGGCAGCACCAGGGTTCAGGGGCCCAGTCGATCCGAGAGCAGAGGGCAGGCTGAAAGGAGGCGGCGTGCCAGCGTGGAATCCCTGCTTGTCAAACGTCTGCACAGGAGGCGAGGGGAACAGCATCAGAGACTGGTGTGAGCAGCCCCACGGTGACCAGACAAGAATAAGAGTGACACAAATGCACATCACCTGAATCTTTCACCAACGCTGTAAGCAAGCCAAGTCACATTGAGTATCTGCAAGCACTTCAGCAGACGAGTTTCAGCTCCTGTTCTCACCCACATTTCTGCACTAATGCCTTTGACATTTTATTTTATTTCCACAGCTACTGTATTCCTCCTTTCCCTGATCTCTTTTTACTCTGAGACATGGGATGGCAGCAGCTGCCTGAAATCAGTCCTTCACACATTACAGGGGCTCAGGCTGGGATTACTTCACCTATCCAGGGCAGCCTAACAAAAATGAAAAAAGAACTTGCAATAACATTTTCCTCCCCCTGGTCAAAGCTTGACCCCTAAAACTAAGCATGTAGTTGAGAGCTGGCTTCCCACCTGTAAGCATGGATCATAGCCAGACACTGATTCCCCCAGCTGAGGGTACAAGGATGGGAAAACAAGAACTGGACGTAAGCCCACTGCACATCACAGCTTGTCAAACTGCCATCTGCTTTCCCTGGGAAGCTGTATGCTCAGCAACAGCCACAGGAGACCATGGGACAGGGACCCTTGGGTGTCAGGGGTGGGCACTACCGACTGGTCTCTCTGGTGAAACGCAAACAGCCTCTTGACTCACTTGCTTTGTGGGCTCTTTTAACTAAAAACATTACTGCCATCACACTTCATTTGCACCCAGGACACAGCATGCGTGGGAGACGTGGGCAGTGTGTGGCAGCGTAGAGCATTGCGCCTATGCCAGCAGCTGCAGTCAGGAGCTGACATGGCAGAAGTGGTGGGACAGAGGACAAGACTCCTCTCCAACAGCAAACAGAGACAACGTAAGAAATGCTGCAGCCTGCTGACCCTGACACCAACCCAGCCACCAGCGCACTGCAGGGACAACTATCCTCAGTTGGGAGGATGGGAGGAAGGCCCAGCAGTGCTCACCTGAGTCTTGTTATAGACTGAGCCACTGATATCAGGCACACCTGTGTTACTTGAGGTCACAGAAACACCTGGAAAACAAAAAAGCCACCATGAGGAAGTTAACCACCACCCAAAACAATCCCTGCGCTTTGCTCCCAGCACCTCCAGCGGCCTCAGTGGAAGCGCCTTTGTCTGGCAGCTGCTGCACTGCATGCCCTGCTGCTGCTGCCAGCCAGCCTGGCAAGGTTCTCCGTGCTCTCAAACCCATGGCACCTCACACAGGACCAGAAGAAAGGGCTTGGTTCTTTGCTCCCACTGCAAAGGGGGAAAACAGCCTACTGGAATAAATCACTCACAATCCACGACCCAGCGGTTACCGCTGGATTCAGATGCACTTCACCAGGCAGCGTCTGGCTGCACCAAACACTCATTTAAGCTCCCGAAAAGCCAGCTTTCCCCTAGCATTAGGGATGCATTTCGCTCTACTGCAGCATTCAAGAGTTTTCGAGTAGTGCACTGAGCAATGAGACTCAGCATCTGCTACACATTGTAGCTTTTGTCCTTTCACATCCTGCAGAAGGGTGAGGTCTGCAGTGCTCCTCTGCCCCAAGAGAGTGAGTATCCCTGATTCAGGCTGGCTTCCACCTGGACCAGCTGGTGCCACAACAGGCTCAGAAACACTCACCAGCCTGAGGTGACTCTCAAACCAGCCACTTATTCACAGTTATAAAGACTGGCTCTAATCATTTCACTTGGATCAGAATAAAATCAGCCGTTCCTTTGGCCAGTGAATCAGAGGACTGGCCACAGAGGGTGTGCACTGCTCAAAGGTTGTACCCTTCCTAGGGCATTGCTCTTTTTTGGACTGCTCCACAGAGGAGCACGTGATCAGCTCCTGGCTGAAGAAGTCCAGTTGGTGTTTCAAATAAACAGCAAATGCTTGGTATTTGCTTAAGCCCAAAGATGAACTAGTTAGTGCTAAGCAATTCAGTATACATTTCTCAGGTCTAACCAGCATCTGCAGAATAAAGCTTTCATATAAGCTTATAAATTCTTCAGCTTTTACAGTCACAAAGGAAACATTTCCAGTCATAAAACAATGCGATGAGTTACAGGGTGTACAAACAGCAGCTGAAACAGCCCAGAGGTGTGTGAACAAGGCCCTGCTCACTCCTAACACACAGCTATCTCAGGTGCCTACCAAGAGAGTAAAAATCTAGCCATCAGTGGACCACTGGACTACTATTCTTCAGCAAAGAAAACTCTGACAGGGGAAACAGCTCACCATTACTCCCTTGTATAACTGTGGACAAAGCTGCACATCAGCCACACAAATACTTATACAAAGTTCAGCCATGAGGTTTAGAAGGGACACTCAGGCCATTAAAAAAGCATTTTGTATACGGGAGATGGAGAAACAGCTTGGATTGTAACCCTGTTTAGAGCTGGCTGCTGTGTTGACTGCACAGCACTGGCAATACTGGGAGTTTGCCCTACGAAATCCCACTCAAGAGCAGCCTCAAGTCTCATGTGTTACCTTTCCCAGGTCCAGTGCCAGCAGATTTGTTTTGTGCTTGAGATGACCCACTGTAGCCTCCTTTGCTGTAATCTCCAGCTGCCGTTGCCTGCGTTAAGTCATCATAGCCTGCCAGTGTGTACAAGACAAGGTGTTACAGTGTGCAAGCAGCTCTGCAGATGCTCACAGGAAAGGCGCAGCGGTAAGCATACCTGCTCCATAGCCATGCTGCCCATAGCCACTCGCTTGCTGGAAAGGAGTTGACGCAGTGTTCAGGTTGACTCCGTGCTGTTTAGCAGATGTTGGAGGTACCTGAACAAAGGAAGGGAACAAAAGGTGCTGTTAGCTGGGGAACAGCAGGCAAAGCACAAGCTCCCTCTGCCATCTAGTGGGGAAGGCACCTCCACCTCACATGGGAAATTTCATCTGGCACTGGGAGCACCGGGATGGCACGGGACATGGCACTCACGCTTCCAGCAGCAACTTTGTGCAAGCCCCAGGTTTTCTGCTAGAGCTGCCCCACTGCTTGCAGTGCAACCCTGTCTCACCACAGGCTGTGTATTTCTTTCATACACTGACTGTAAACAGCAAATTCTCATCCACGGACACAAGAAGGAGCAACAATAGTGCTCTCCCTCCACAATCAATGCAACACCAACGCCTGCCTGGGGCTGTTTCATAAAACAGTCCTACAGGGCCCTAAAATAGACTCATCCACCCTTCTGCCTGGAGCACCACCTCCTCCCAAATAACCTTCTTCCACCTGAGACTACCAGTGCTGCTCTCTGACTTAATGGGATCTCCTCCATCCTCAGAAGGATTTCCTAGGCACTCACTCAGCTTTGGGTCTCCCCTTAAGTCTCGAGAGACTGGTAAGGGCTTTCAGGAACACTGAGTCCATGAGCTGCAGCTGTCTGCTATTTACAGTGCAGGAGTCCATGAGTTCCGGCCTTTTAAATTTCCTGTTTTCTTACGGAAGAAATTTTTCCCTCATGCTTGCACAATTTTGGAGATCCCTTGCAGGCTGGAGAAGATGACATTACTACGTTCTCGTGAGATCCCACCTGGAATACTGCATCCAGCTCTGGGGTCCCCAGTACAAGACAGACATAGCCCTGCTGGAGCAAGTCCAGAGGTGGCCACAACAATGATCAGAGGGCTGGAACCCCTCTGCTGTGAGGACAGGCTGAGAGAGTTGGGGTTGTTCAGCCTGGAGATGAGAAGGCTCTGGGGAGACCTTCTTGCAGCCTGAAAGTACTTAAAGGGGGCCTGTAAGAAAGATGGGGACAGACTTTTTAGCAGGGCCTGTTGCAATAGGACAGGGGTAATGGTTTTAAATTAAAAGAGGGCAGATTTAGGAAGGAAGAAGATTTTTACAAGGTGATGAGACACTCTAACAGGTTGCCCAGAGAAGTTGTGGGTGCCCCATCATTGGAAGTGTTCAAGGTAAGGTTGGATGGAGCTTTGAGCAGCCTGATCTAGTGACAGATGACCCTGCCCATGACAGAGGAGTTGGACTAGGTAACCTTTAAAGGTCCCTTCCAACCCAAACCATTCTGTGATTCCAAGCTGTAGAAGGTTTGGGCTGGAAAGAGTAAAATGAGCAAAACCAGAAAGGCACAAAGGGCGGGTTACAGTTTAGGCTGTCACACTTACAAACATGGTTGGCCCATACTGGAATGCACTGGGTACACCAGGCACACCAGCGTAATAAGGTAGCCCTGTGTAGCTGTACCCTGGGGGCAGGGTTGGGTTGAGGAAGGGCTGCTGAGTGGTATGGTGAGTCTGCGGCTGGGTTTGCTGTGGCCTGATCTAGTGACAGATGACCCTGCCCATGACAGAGGAGTTGGACTAGGTAACCTTTAAAGGTCCCTTCCAACCCAAACCATTCTGTGATTCCAAGCTGTAGAAGGTTTGGGCTGGAAAGAGTAAAATGAGCAAAACCAGAAAGGCACAAAGGGCGGGTTACAGTTTAGGCTGTCACACTTACAAACATGGTTGGCCCATACTGGAATGCACTGGGTACACCAGGCACACCAGCGTAATAAGGTAGCCCTGTGTAGCTGTACCCTGGGGGCAGGGTTGGGTTGAGGAAGGGCTGCTGAGTGGTATGGTGAGTCTGCGTCTGGTTCTGCTGTGGCTGGGCGAGCGTGGTAGCAGGAGCAGGGGAGGCAGAATCCCCACGGCCAAATTTTGTTACATCACCTGTGAAAGAAAGAACTGATCAGAAAAGCTATCAAAGCCATTCCAAAAGTGGAGGATTCAAAGGATTCAAATCCTCTGAATACAAGCAGACAACTACAGCAGACAGCACATCCTACACTTGAAAGGCTGCAGTTGTTCATGAGAAGAACTCTCCTAATCTCTGTTCCTGATGGCTACAGGGACATTGCCTGTTTATGGCACAGAACTCCGTGCCATGGCTAATCCATTGATAAAACGGAGATACCAATACTTACCTATCTCACATGTTCTGACCAGATTCATTACTATCTGATCATTGCAATAAAACATGCTAAAAGCAGAAGTATGGTAAATAGCCAAAGAGCAAATGGTTGTTGGGTTAAAGTGTGACTCTCCTGGAGGTTAAACCGATTAGCTAAGCTTCATGGGCTGAAAGCAAGTTAGGATTTACAGGCACTAATGGGCATATTTTTATCAATGTCTGTTTATTTGTCAAGCATGACTAGTTAGATGTCTGGTTCCTCACACCACCAAAGTTCTGGAGACAGTAGCTGAAGGCCAGGAAAGCAAGGCTTGCATCGCGGGCCACCTTATTGAAGAAGTAGGAAGGGAAATTCAGTTATTAACCGAAAAGTAGCCTCCCAAGAGGGTGTGATTACGCAGAAGAAAACTCCCGAACACTTGCATTTTCTGGCAGCCTACAGAACAGCACATTCACGTGTTTTTAGAGAAGTGACATATATCAATCACATCTATCTCATTCCTAACCAGTATTCCTTTATGTTCGTTACCAGTAAGTATGACAACACTTAATACCATCATTATAGAAACTATCACACCTGTGGCTCCAATTTTAGATGTAATCAGATGGCAGTGGAAGAAAACCACTGGCTGAAAATAATGGATGTCATTAAGTCACCTTTGCACAATGACAACTGAAGAGCAAGAGCAGGCTTCTTAGACAACATGGTTTTGGAAATTAAGTCCATTAGATTTGGGAAGGGTGAGGGAGAGCCTGCTAGATGCAGCTCCTGCTGGGAACATACAAGTCCTAAAATAGCAGTAACAAAGTATGGAAGCTTCTGAGAGGGGTCTATTCCAGTGCCAGAAAAGGAAAGTAAGCCAGCTGAATTTCAAGAAGAATGATTAAGCTATGGAAAATTTACCAAGCACTTGTATGTGCTCGGGAAGGGCACTACATGACACTGCCGTTTCCATTCATAACAATTTTGCACTTATTCTCAAAGACTATCCAACTTACTCCCAGAAGCTGTCATGTATGAATTACTGACCAACACCATGAAGAAACATCAACATCAGGGTTGAGAGGATGATGCTGGCTTTTGTCTGACCAGTTTGGACTGATGGGTTTAACTGCTTACAGAAGAGAAAAACGACTGCTCTTTCAGCACTGGCAAGATGGCCAGCATGTCTCACTTACCATCCTTGTCTCTAAATAGCACTCACCTGAGTACGGGTTGTTAGCAAGGCTCCCATCTCTGCCTGTCAAGGTTGCAGGAGCAGGGAATGTAATTCCATAGTAATCCTTAGAAAGAGACAGCATCATTTATTAATAGTTGAAACCATAACAGAGCTGGACAGCTCTTATGAACCTTGTATTATACATATGCACAAGAAAATTTTAAAAAGAAGAACTAAAGAAAGTTTGGGCAAAAGCTGACTTTATCGCTTACAGCAGAGCTGAAGATTTACCTGGATTGTCAACTTCAAAATTAACCGACTCTATAGACATCTCTAATATTATACACAAATACTTCATCTCTTAATGGTAAGTTAAAAGCAATGACTAAACACTTTCCCCTCCCAACCCTCAGCTCTGATCTGTCATCTTCCAGCGAGACTGCACCTGGAGGAAAGACAGACCATCAAGGGCCCAAGACCTGGGGTCAGGCCAGGACTGTAATTGCAATGTGGATGTAGTACAAAGGTTTTACCCTTGTACAATGCCCTCTTTTCTGAAAGTGGAAATGTCAGCTAGGAAAACAGTATAAATATTTAAAAAGAAAAAAATGGAGAAAAAGAGTTACTACCTGATGACTGGAAAATTTATTTGAACTATATCACAGGAGACCTCAGATCAGCAGTCTCCAAAGTGGGGTGCACAAGACAATCCATTGGAGTGCATCCTGAAAATATTTCTGGTACCATTAATAAATAAAATTTTTAAAATTTTAAAATTGTGTTTGTTTAACCTTTCTCTCATCCTTTTAAACATTTTTATTTTTGTGTATGCTTTATAACATACATATTAACAGAGTAGTATACATATTAGAAATAAAAATATATTGAGGGTGAGTGCTCACAAATTTTTTACTGATGGGCTGTGTGATCAAAGAAGGTGGAGAGCACTGCCTTAGATCATTCTTCTACGTCCTCTACAGGAAGGTAAGACAGTTCTCACCCTAGAAAGCTCGCACTTTGAGATGACAGGACATGCCAGCAAAACGAAACCGGCATTTTGTCTTCAGTTTGTAAGAAAAAGAGAAAACTTTGCCCTTCCCTCTCTGAGTGAACTCCATGTATGGGGCTGGTACTGTACTAAGTGTTTTTCCTCCTAATTTTCATCGTTTACTCCTCACCACCTCCAATCCATCAAGAGTTAATGCTTTAACAAGTCATGTATCCAATTCCACACACTCTCCAACACCGGAAAAACATCCTCCTCCATCCCCTCTCTGCAAGTTCCCCAGCATCTCAAATGCTTTCTCAGAGTTGACAGCACCTTCCACCTTGCATTTCTGGGCATCACGTCCCCGATTCCTACACCCAGTCCTGCATGACTGAACATGACATAATCTGGCAAGGATTTATTGCTTTCTGTAACTTTAAACAGTGACATATTCCATCCTTTCCTTCCCAGGTAATTATACCTGATCCACTCTGCCACGAATCACTTAACAAAACACAACCAAATTCACATTAAAAGTCTTAGCAGGTTACTCAAAAGCAGCGCTCCTGTCTCCTTCTGAGGAAAATGCCACAAAATGTAGATTTGGAAAAGAGATCTAAACAGGATCCAGATGAACTGGAACTGACATCATCAGCACTGCATATCCCTATCCCATACACCTGTGCATACGCATATTCAAACCAAAAAATCATTAGAAAATACAAGTGCAACCCAGTTATCTTTGCACTTCATGCCCACCCATAGGAAAACATCAGAAGATATACTCTGCTCTTCAAACAACATGGGTACTTCCTGACCTACAGAGAGCATGCAGGAGAAGGTGCCTAAAGTCAAAACTGAAGTATCAGGAATAGACTTAACAAGTGAGAGAGAAAATGACTAAAAAATGGTAAGTCATCTAGTGTAATAGATTTAAGCTCCACCAAGCAGCTCACTAGGTACCACGCACACCAGCTAAGGCATCTGCTTACACAGGCAGCCTGCAACAGACTAACAGAAAAGGTAGCATATCCCAATGTAATACACACAAAAATAAAATTAAAATCATAATGAACACAGTGAGAATTCACAAGTATCCACATACACATTAAGAAACTGCATTAAATTCGAAAAGAAATCCCTCCCAGACCTCAGGAGAAACCCCCGTTCTTGCTCTATCAGCAGCCAGTGGTACCTCCTGCTGCGGGAAGCTTCCCAGGAAGCAGTAACGACTTGCAGTTGGGACTCTGCCCACTTTCACTTTCTAGATGTAAGCAGACCGGCATGTCAATGACAAATATTCCCACCAGCTCCTGCCTCCCAAACACCTAATGTTGCCTAATTTCTACAACAAATTCAAAACACAACAAAACCCCCAAAATCTAGAAATCACAATCATCGCATGAATAGTTGAAAAATCCTTGGTTACATTTATGTATTTATTTATAAATATCAACACATTGAGGACAAATAACTCAGGGGGTGGGTGGGATAACAGATGACCCCAAAAACATTCTGTAAAACATTTGCAGAGAGAAGAAAAACTCTTCCACCTGCAAAGCTGCAAATGCTATAG